TTTAAAGTTCCTTACTGTTTTGTTTTGTGTTTTTCTTCAGCACATGATTGGGTGAGAGAAGGAGGAAAGGCATCTGAAATACCCTTGGATATATCAGTATTACATAATATGCGACAGTTTGTGAAATACAGTCGTTTCAAGCAATTTGCTCTAAGGGTAAGTTAAAAGTGCCTGAATTTTTTGAAGCTTGGGCATACTTTATGAGATTTTAGCAGTGATTCAAATGGTTTATACAACTTTTTTAGGCATTAGCGTCTACATTAAACTCAGAAGAGCTGTCCGATCTTCGTGATCAGTTCAACGCCATTGACGTTGACAAAAATGGAACGATTAGTCTGGAGGAACTGAAGCAGGTAACTATGTTTGGATGTCATTGCTATTATTGTTTCCTAATGTAACTGGTTTTCTAACATCTCACACTGGAATACATAGAATGAGGTTCTCAATTGTAATCATAGTTTCCAATTATTAGCAACCTAAACAAACCTGATCAAGAAATAACTATTGCATGAGAAAGGATACAAGTGATCTACCGTTAATATGAATAGCTGGATTTTTCTTCTGACAGACCAAGTTAATTCCCAAATTCCATACTTACTACATAAAGACTAACCCAAAGATTAGCCATGCTTGTGGTGCCTCACTGCTGCCATGATATCCAATTTTGTTGCCCATTACAAGACTTATTATCATGTGTCAGTACTCTAAACAATATATGTACACTTTTTGCAATGTTTCTTTTTCATGGTGTAGTTTTGGGAATATTTTGTCCTACGTAATTGCATGTGCTGGCACATCGTACTGCTGTTGCCTATGATGTGATTACTTATACCAAGTTCAAAACAGGGGAAGTCTGCTAAGTCAACTTTAACAACAACAACAAAGCCTTTAAGTCCCAAACAAGTTGGGGTAGGCTAGAGTTGAAACCCAGCAGATGCAATCAAGGTTCAGGCACGTGAATAGCTGTTTTCCAAGCACTCCTATCTAAGGCTAAGTCTTTGGGTATATTCCATCCTTTCAAGTCTCCTTTTATCGCCTCTACCCAAGTCAACTTCGGTCTTCCTCTGCCTCTCTTCACGTTACTATCTTGGTTTAGGATTCCACTACGCACCGGTGCCTCTGGAGGTCTCCGTTGGACATGTCCAAACCATCTCAACCGGTGTTGGACAAGCTTTTCTTCAATTGGTGCTACCCCTAATCTATCATGTATATCATCGTTCCGAACTCGATCCCTTCTTGTATGACCGCAAATCCAACGCAACATACGCATTTCCGTGACACTTGTCTGTTGAACATGTCGTCTTTTCGTAGGTCAACATTCTGCACCATACAACATAGCAGGTCTAATCGTCGTCCTATAAAACTTGCCTTTTAGCTTCTGTGGTACCCTTTTGTCACATAGGACACCAGATGCTTGGCGCCACTTCATCCACCCTGCTTTGATTCTATGGCTAACATCTTCATCAATATCCCCATCTCTCTGTAGCATTGATCCTAAATATCGAAAGGTATCCTTCCTAGGCACTACTTGATCTTCCAAACTAATATCTTCTTCCTCCCGAGTAGTAGTGCCGAAATCACATCTCATATACTCAGTTTTAGTTCTACTGAGTCTAAAATCTTTGGACTCCAAAGTCTCCCGCCAAAACTCCAGTTTCTGATTCACTCCTGTCCGGCTTTCATCAACTAGCACTACATCGTCCGCGAAAAGCATACACAAGGGATGTCCCATTGTATGTCCCTTGTGACCTCATCCATCACTAAGGCAAACAGATAATGGCTCAAAGCTGACCCTTGATGTAGTCATATATCCCAAACGGAAATAAACATGTGGTGACTTTGGATCTCACAAACAGACAAAAGTTATAAATTAATTACCTTTTCTCCTCTGTTTTAGAACCTATGTTCCAGGTCACTGTGCTTATACTCATCAATTAACACTAATGTACAGGCTCTTGCAAAGGATGTTCCATGGAGATTAAAGGGTCCACGTGTTTTAGAGATCATTGAGGCGGTATGTTACTTATGTTTACCCTGTATGTCATAGATTAGTCTTTAAGTTAACATGCTTTCTTGGTGTTTGCTTGTTTGGAACGAAGTGTGTATTATTTTGAGTGTGTGGTGTTTGTTAATGTGTATGTGGGTGTTGCAGTTTTTCCTAGTTTCTAACCCCTCTTTGGACCTCCTTGTGTTTGTTTGATTTATGCACTACACTCCATTGTTGCCTTGGTTGGGTTACTATGGTCACTACATACAAACTCCCAAATCTATGAACAATATTTAGTGCAAACGAACATTAAAAAAATTCATAATTTTTTGAAGAATTGGAAATTGTTTGCGCTATGCTTGTTAAAGTTAATGTATCAATATACTGAAATCTATGGACCCTTTTAATCTTTTTCAACACTGTATTGCATAAAGTTAATTATTTCATTGGAGTTACAGAAATTGAATATCATATTTCATTGTTGAGCAGATTGACAGTAATACAGATGGGCTAGTTGATTTTGAAGAGTTTGTTGCTGCAACACTACACGTGCATCAGCTGGTGGAACATGATACTGAGAAGTGGAAGTCATTGTCTCAAGCTGCATTTGATAAATTTGATGTTGACAGAGATGGATACATCACATCTGATGAACTTAGAATGGTATCTTTAGAAAACTGCCAGAGTTTAGTTTCTTTTTTCTTTTGGGCACATGCTTATTCTCTGCAATACTTACCTAAGACTACAAGGACCCAGTTATTCATGATGCATCTCATGTTTCCCATACATAATTAAGACCTCTTGCTCCTTGTCTACAGCATACAGGAATGAAGGGTTCTATTGATCCCCTCCTGGAGGAGGCTGACATTGACAAAGATGGCAAGATAAGCCTAGATGAATTTCGCCGGCTCTTGAAGACTGCAAGCATGAGTGCACGCAATGTACAAACTCCTAGGGGTGTTCGCGTGTCATAGTTTTCCGATTTTTGTAGTTCACATAACTGAACAAGGGAGCAGCAGCACATGTAATTGGAGAAAGGCTTCTTGATGTAAATTAATACAATCAATACACATGAATGTAGTCAATAGGTAGTTGTTCCTTGAAAACAAGCATTGTATTCTTGCTATGCAATACTATGTTTTGTTTCCAGCAAGTTCTGCAGATGAGCTTTACAAACTCAAAATCGAATGCGGCAAATGTTGCACCAGCTGTCCAGCACACATCCCTCTCTTGCTAGAGTGGGTTCAGTTTAGATTTAGGTTTGAGTCAATTAAAAATAGGTTGTCATTTGGGATTGTATCTGCAAGGTGAGGCTGTGTTTAGTTTAGCTTCTTATAGGCACCGCCCGATGAATATAAGCTTTGCCATAGCATAGCATTATGTGTCATACCTTTGGCAAACAGATGTACTAGAGTTCGGACGCCCGCGCGGCCTGTCCCCGTCCGCTGAATTTTCCTACTCCGCACGCGCATCCTGTCCCGTCGCAGCGCATGCGTGTCTGGAGGACTCGTCTCGCACTCGCAGTCCGCCCTATCCGCCTCAATTCGAGGCCATTCGTCCCACCCTGCACTCGTGCCCTACCTTGACCGTCGGCCCCGAGTGTGCCCCGTCCGCAGGACACCAGGGCATTGCGGGCCCTGTCCGCTAGCCCCTAGCTTGCCGCGCCATTCTCCGGTGCTCGCGCCGTGCCACCATCACTCCCCGCGCCCCCTGACTCTTCGAACAACATGAAAGATGTGCAACATGAAACACTTGAATGCAACATACGTCTGCAACAGATGAAACATCTAGAGATACACTTGCAACATATATATGAAACATATGCAACATCCAGATAAACATTTGCAACCTGCAACATGAAAACACATACTACAACATAAGACTGAAACAGCTGAAACATTTGGAACATATTGTGAAACATATGCAACATCCATATCAGAACGCTTGCAACATACGTTTGGAACAGATGAAACATTTTAAACAAACCTCTTAAACACTTGCAACATGCCTCTGAAACACTTGTAGCATATGCAACATGTGCAACATCTCCCGATCTACTTTTGCAACATACCTCTGAAACATCTGAAACACTTAAAACATACACTTGCAACATGTGCTTTCATCGCAACATCTCCTTGCTGAGGTCGCGCATCACGGCGGCCATGGCGTCGACAACGGCCACGACCTTCTAGGAACAGCATCGGCAGCACCCCAGTAGCACCTCGATGCGCGGGGGACGGGGCACGGTGTGCAGCGAGCTAGAGCAGGAGCGGGGGGGGGTGTGGAGCGTGACGCGGCGATGAAGGGCAACAACGCGGGATGGAGCGCAGCGCTGGATGGGGGAGCCACGCCCCGTGAGATGGCGTGCGCGACGAGGAAGACGACAGCAGAGAGCGCACGACGCAAAGCAGCGCACGATGGGCGAGAGCCATGGGGAGATATTTTTGAGAGAAGATATGAGAGACGCAAAGAGTAAGCAGGCCTGGAAAGCGGCGTCTGGACGAACGGATGTCCGCTCCTGAGCATTACCGTTTGGCAAATGAATCATCCGCAACCGTTTAGGTACAACATTCTCGCCAGAGAAGATGTGGTGAGATCACTATCAGTGCAAAGCGGAGATAATGGTGCAAAACAACATATTTTAGCACAAGAAACCAAACATCTCTCCCCCTGGCTCATCCACAGCATGTTTTAGGATTAGATTGATTTGATTTGTTCAATTATGAACGGCATGCGTCCCCTTCGTCAGCATCTCCCTATATGCTTGGCTACACACGCTGGACACAGGCCCACACGTGCATGCCGATCATCACGGCATTCGGCTACTATGGCCCAAACACCGTGGTGTTACTCCTCCTGGACCTGGGCCTGTTGCTGGGCCCGGCCTGCTCGATGTAACCGTCTTCTTCTTCAGGATTCAGACAACCACCGACTCCTGAATCCTGACGAAGAAAGTCCTGAAAACATCTGCCTCGGTCTGTGGGGCCCTTGAGTGCTAGCATAACAAGACACACTAGCTAGCTAAGCTGTTGGCGCCCTTGAGTGCTAGCAATGCAGCTCCATAGGCTGCCTCAGTCTGTGGGGCCTTCCGGACCGGCACGCCGAGCACCCTCTCCCGAATGGCCGTCCACTTGTCGTTCTGCGCTCCTCCCCCTGCTGTGAACACCTCCTCCACCGCCGTCGCACCGAGCTCCTTCAGCAGATTGTACCCCTTGGCCTGGTTCGACCCGTAAAATCAGAAACACTAGCACAATTAGCTTATAATTAACTGATGAGTCGGTATCAGTTTAAATCTGATGTGACAAATTAAAAAGCAACGGAGTTTGATTTAGTTTGGACCTCAATTCGCGCGATGGATTCCAGTATGCCGTGCAGGTACTCCGCGTCGCTCCCAGGGCGCGGCTGCAGTCTGCAGAGACAAAAAAACCAAGTTGCAGAAGGAAGAGACACACGGATTCATGCATGCGCCTATGCTATGTGAAGCAAGTCTGAAACGAACTGAACCTTGGCATCATGTTGGGATCAGAGACCGGGAACCTCTCGCCCTTCTTCGGCAGGGGGTAGTAGTCGAGCGGGGAAGGCATGGCCGGGTCGATGTACTCGCTCAGCGCCACGAGCTGGTCGTCGGTGAAGAGCTGCCGGAGCACGGCTCCCCCGGTGTTGGACGCGCCGCCGACGAGCCACGTGTCGTCCAGGCGGTGGCTGTACACGCCGAACCTCGCGTCGTCCACGCGGACTTCGCTCACCAGCTTGATCGCCAGAGTTGACCCCAGCGACGTCACCTGATTACAGCAGTTATTACAGTTTAGTTCTTCGATTCGATCAAGAAAAACCAAGAACACAACACTCTGTCTTTGGTGCGTGTTCGTGACACTACATTGCTATTAGTACTCACAGCTCTTCCTGGTTCACTGCTGCGAGCTGCAAGGAACGCCGCTATGCTGTCGGTGGTTCCGGTGCACACAACACACTTCTTGGAGAGTCCTGCGTGCCAAGGCCAAGATGAAACAATTAATGGATAATTGGATTGGCGGGTCTAAAAGAACGAAAATTATCGTTAACACCAGTATTTACCGTACTGTGAGCACACGTCGTCTTTGATTGCAGCAATGGGAGTGCCAGGTGCTCTGACAGAAGCAGGCAGCATGCGCGAGTACGGCTGCGACGTCAGCCAGCTCGGGTAGGCGTCGAGCTCCGGATCGTAGCCCACCTTGAGCGCGTTGTTGTAGTCAGAGACGCCGAACTGGCCGTGCAAGAGCCAGAGGAGCCAGTCGGACTGGTGCATCAGCACCGCCGCCGCCGCCGCCGGACGACCGCCGCCGCTGCTGCTCGAGGTCCACCACGACACGAGCTTGCAGAGCGTGGAGGAGCCGGAGCACACGGTGTGGTTGGCCGGCGCGATCGACTCCACGGCGGGCAGCGCGTCCGGGAAGCTCTCGTTGTAGAGGAACGGGCCGGCAAGAAGCTCCCCGGTCTCGCTGCGGCGGCGTCGCGGACAGTTAAGTCATCATCGCACACACACAACGACAGGTGACACACGCATTTGGTTCACCTGTCGACGATGAGCGTGGTGGCCGAGGTCCCGTCTATGGAGATGGAGGAGATGGACGGGCGGAGGACGGGTGGGATGTCAGCGAGGAGCTGGAAGAGCGCCGCTCGCCAGGAGCTCGCCCAGTCCGTGGCGGCGTCGTCGTCGCCGACCTGCCTATATAGAAACTCCAATCAAAGGATGCGCTGGCTGGCTCGTCAGGAAGGGAAATCGGACGCTCTTACAGACAGGAGCACAGTAAGCTCGTTTCCCTTCCGAGTGGATGGCCCCTTGCTTGTCGATGACGGCGTATCTTGCTCCGGAAGTTCCGAAGTCTATCCCGAGGTACAAAGTCGTGCGGACACCATCGCCGCCGGGATTCTGCTGGCTAAGCATGGTGATTCTTACCCTCGATGTGACAGCGCGGCTCCGATCCCTCCGGAACCCCAGTAATCCTGAAAAACGTGTAACATTAAAGGCCTTGGATTGGATTGGATCAGCAGCAGCACAGTGACGTACAGAGCATGAGGTACCTCGTTTTGCAGGGTGGCGATGGTGAGGCAGTGGCTTTGCTGAGGGAGCGAGAGCTGACACCATGGGAGATCGATTTGGATTTGGTACTCGAGCCCCGCTACGAGGCCGGAGGAGGTGAAGGCGATGCTGTGTCGGCCTGGAAGGCGGAAAGGAGATGAAGAGCGTGGCAGTGCCACTGCCGGCCGGCAGGGGAAGGATAAGGAAAGATTTGGACGGACGGAATTGCTGGGCCCGAACACGGACAGCATAGGGTTCTACTGGGCCGTGCTTGTGGGCACTTGCCTACGGCGTGCACTGGGCCCTGCAGAGGGAACCGGAGGGGTTTTATTGGGCCGTAGTTGTGGCACCTACATAGGCGTGCACTCTGTGGGCCCTGCGTGGCTGCGTGTGATGAGCACCTGAACAGAGGCCAGAGGGAGTGGGCGTTCGGCGGTGACCGGGCGGCGTAGCAGAGGATCCGTTCGCATCCCGTGCTCTGACCACCCCCAACCCCCCTCCGTCGACGACTGGGCGAGCGGCGCCGACCTTGTTCGTCGGGTTCCTTCCCCGGCGACGAGCATCCACCAGGTGGGACCGCCCCTTCCTTTGCCCATCCCCATCCTGCTGTGCTGAACCGAGCACCCCCAAACCCTAACTGAAGCAATTTCTATCCGGATCTGACCTAACCATTTTAACAACTAGGTCCGCTGGCTTCGATTTGGTGTTAAAGTTTGGTTACAATGTCCTGCAATTTTGTATTTTTTAGACCTGCGTTTTCTGGTCTGATTGCCAAAATGGGTGTGCAGGGATTGCCGATTGGATGGCCGATTTCGCAGATGGGCTAATCAGAACTGCGAGAAGGTTCGGTTTTCTTCTCCTCGTTGCGGTCTTCGGAGGTGGATTTGCTTTTTCCACAAATCAGAGATGGACGACGACGACGGCAGCCTAGGCATTCGGAATTGGGGCTTCTACGACACTGTGAAAGGCAACCTCGGCCTGCAGCTCATGTCGTCCGTGCCACCTGACCGGGACACAAAGTCACTGCTCCCGAACGGTGCCTTCTTGCAGCACCATGGACACCACAATGCCACGCACCAGCTCCACATGCAGCACTCGCAGCATTCCCGTGGCCCCGCTGGTGGTCGAGCCCCTGTTGGCATGCCTGCCGAATCGCAACCTATTCACTTGGACTTCTCACGCAATGAAGCTTGGTTGCACCAGTTGCACCACCAACGTCCTCCTGAGCAGAAGGTCCTTCATTCTCGCCCTATCGGACCAGCTGGGCATGTTGGGCATCCAGGCCATGGTGGCCATCCTGCGCATGGTGGACATATTGTGCATCACCATCCTACTGGCTATGGGATGATATCAGATGCACAGCATACTCTCCAGATGATGCAACCACCGCTTGAGTCACAGCTTCAGGAGCCTCCTCCATGCAAGGAAGAGGAAGCGCCACCTCCGCTGATAGAGGATCACTCTGTGCCTGTGGTTATTTCCGGGCCACCTGTGAAAAAGAGGCAGCGGGGCCGGCAGCAGAATCGGCAGCCTAAGTCACCAAAGCCTAAGAAGCCTAAGAAGGCTGCTGTTCCACTGGAGGATGGAGCACCCAATGGGCGTGCGCCCCGAAGGAGGGGACCTAAGAAGACTGTGGGGATGGTGATTAATGGTATTGAGCTGGACCTTGCCAACATACCAACACCAGTTTGCTCATGCACCGGAGCTCCCCAGCAATGCTACCGGTGGGGTGCGGGTGGCTGGCAGTCTGCATGCTGCACAACTTCTATATCAACGTATCCACTGCCAATGAGCACAAAGCGCCGGGGCGCACGTATTTCTGGAAGGAAGATGAGCCAAGGTGCATTCAAAAAGGTGCTTGAGAAGCTGGCTGGTGAAGGGTACAACCTTGCTAATCCAATTGACTTGAAGACGTTTTGGGCTAAGCACGGCACAAATAAGTTTGTAACAATCAGGTAAAGAAAAAGGCATGCTATGTTTATCGCTTTGTAGGTTGTAGCAGGGGCGGATCCAGCGTGCGTGCTGGGGGAGCTTGAGCCCCCCTACCCCTGCTCGGAAAATGGAGCCCCAACAATTTCATGCATCGATGAAGAAGAAAAAAAAATGAAGATGAGGAGAAAGAGAAGTGCCCCCCCTCTTCCACCCCAAATTGGTGATCCTGGATCTGCCACTGGTTGTAGAGCACTAGAGCTGAATCTGTAGTAGTAGTTTGTAGCTATGTTCAGTTTCAATGACTTTATTTTCATGCCTATTTCGAGCTTCAGATGTAGACCCAATTGAAGTATGTTTGTATCCTTCACTTTGCAAAATTTAGTGTAACCATAATAGTCTCTAATTTAGGTGGCATGAAATTCATTGCATTAATTAAATCTGTGTGGAAGTAATGGCATTATATGGAGGTTTTGTGACTTTGTCTGCTGGAAGACATTTACCAGCACCTTTTCATGGAGATAACTGTTAACTTATTAAAATAAACTTGACCACTGGGGGGAGACGCTCCCTGGGCATTGCAATAAGAAGTTGTACTAGGATTTGAATGCAAACTGGCAAGGGGAGGCCCCCGATCACACTGCTCTTACCGGTATAACTTGTGAGAAGATGGTTAACTGTTAACTTATTGTACGGCATATCTTTGAGTTGTGTTTATGAAGTACTTATATTATGTATTTGATGTCTTACAATTCATACTCAAGAACGGATTCAAGAAACTAAATCCTTGACCGCATCTTCATACCTTCAGTGGTCGTTGCAAAAGCAAATATTATTATTTCTGGCCTTCTTGTTCGCCGTGAAATGTTTATAGAAGTTTGCTTTTAGTTCATGTTGTATTTTCTTGTCAAGTGCTGGTTGGCATGTATTTCCTCCCATCGTAAACATAAGTCCAACTATGCTTGTCCTAAGTTGAATTTTTTTAACTTTGACCACTAATATCTAGCATTTTATATAGATTGGCAACACAAGGTTCACACTACTAGATTCACAATAACTAATACTTTCATAATCTATAACTCTTTACGTTTGAGATATATTTCTGCAAATATTGCTAGATAAAGTTAAACAAGTTTGACTTAGGACAAGATCAGATGGAATTATATCTGCGATCTGAGGAAGTAGTATTTCTTCAGAAAGGTTGTGTGGAGGGTGTGCTTAACTTTCTTTATGGTATTTGGTTGCTATGGTTCCCTAATCTATATGCTAGAATAAAGAGGCTATCCTTGAGCCTAGGAGGCTAGGACCATATCTTAGTGTTGTGGTTGTCAAAAATGGTTGAGAAGTCATCTATTATTGCTATTGGCATTGAGACAAGTGTCTTTTCCAAAACATTTCACAACAAGAGTTCAGGTGGTGAAATCTGGTTATGAAGCTTAAATGAACCGTGAAGCAGATTTCCAACAGTATGACAAATGGATCTGAGCTTATAATGCAATATTTGAAAATTTGAAATTAGTTTAGTTCTTTGCAGGTTGTTATTTGTACATGCTTAATGAAGAGGCTTTGTTTTAGTCGAAATGTTTATGATTTGGTTCCTGGTTTGTTGAATTGATATCTGGATCTAACAAAACCAAGTAATCAGATTAGTTGTTTTTTTAATGGTTATTCCCCACAGGAGATGCAACAGGAATTAATTTGTTTGCTTAATCTGGTTGAAGTTCTGGAGTTCTAGTTTTCTTTGATAGGTAAGTTGGTATAATACATCCTTAAGCTTTCTCTTTTAGTTCAGAGGTTATGGGATTCGTGTGCGTTTTAAGATCTGTATTCGATAGTTTTCTAACATTTCTGTGATTATGTTAGTAGCTAGGATAAACTTTAATAATTTATGCAGATGTGGTGATTGGATCATGTTCTCTCTCTTTTTCCTCAAACACGCAGGAGAGCTGTGTATCATTTCATTAAGAAGAAAAGAGAGTACAAGGGGGAGAAAACCCCAAAAGAGGAGCATGTTCTCATTTGAACATATGATTTTGGTCCTTTTGAAGTTTGAGGACCTTTTGGGCTAAGCATGGCACGAACAAATTTTTAACGGTCAGGCTGCCTTAGGTTCCTTGGTTGTAGCTTTCCCTGAGTTGTTCTGTATGTATATGCACTATGCAGAAGTTTACAGTTTGTAGCCATTTTCAGTTTTGTGAAATTTAACTTGCATGCCTGTATCACTTAGATATCAAATCTCATGGAGAGCTGTCTATCGGTCTGCGTAGAGGTTGAAGGGTAACAGAATCTCTAGCTTAGATGGCATGACATTTGATGTGTCCAATGTTTGGTATTTCTGATTTTTTAATTTGCTACATTTTACATCTTTCATTGATTTCTTTTGTTGAATTACTCTTTTTTGTGCAAGTAGGGTTTATCCTCGATTCTTGTTGACCTTATGCCATCTTCTTTTACCCAAGGAAGTTAAATTCTTGATTTTGTACAGTGTTAATGATGTGCATGGAACTTAAAGGAAGTTCTACTGTTTGTGTAACCTTACTTAACTACTCTGAAAATGTTGCAGTACTTATCTATTCACATATATGTTATTAAGTTAACTTGTAGGAGTAATTTCTCTTTCCTGCTGAAAGAGTGCATGGGATGATGTAACTTTGAGTGTGCTTTGTACTAAACTTCATTTTACATTGTTTGGTATTCCTGGTTATGTATGAGACTAAAGAGTTTATCCTTGAACCCAGGAATGTTTATTTGTGGGAAAAGTTAGGATTTCCCACCTATTGTCTAATTTACATGTGGCCCTTATAACCATGTCAATGATACATTAGTGCATATATCTTGTGCTGCTGAAGAACAGAATGCACCTTGGGCAATGTGTGGCTTATTTTGTCTCCTAACATCTGCGGACAAGAAATGAAGAAAACATGTTTTTAGCTCCTTTATGTGATAAACTTTTAGATGCTGAAATGTGGTTTCAGAACTTATATTAAGGTTTTACAAGTAACAGGCTCGAGACTGGTAAAATATCTTGGGTCTTGATGTATTTTGAAAGTTGAACGTAGTATGTGCTGCATGCATATATAACTTACAAGCAGGGTGATTCAGGTCGTCTTATTTGGATATATATATATATATATATA